CACTTATGAGGTCTTAATATAAGATGTAAATGTCAACTGGCATTTAAGGATTATCATTGGGACCTATCGAATGTTATTTCCTAGGTAGTAGTCACCTGATCTTATCATTAGGAAGCAATCAGACTATCGAAGTTCTAGGAGTACTGCTTAGTTGAAGTCATAAGGTGTGTCTGAAACAGACGGGAAGTGTTCTCCCTTCTGTTTGAAAGAAGACAAGGGTCATCTCGCTTTTTTCTGTATTCTTCACAGAGAAAATATGACCCAGAAGAGTCCTGTGAAGGTGTTATCTGATTTTTTTTAAATCATTCATTAAGCTGTTATTTAAACACACACACCCAGATACCATGGAAAACTAAAGGTAATTGACCTGGATACTTAGTTTTTTTGTCGACATTAACAGGAGATAACATATAAGGAGAGATTTTCAAAAGCAAAAGGCTTTCTCCTGTGTTTTTTCTGAAGACTGAATGGCCAATGTCACCCTAAGCGGTTGTACATGAGGGAACTGTGATGTTTAAATACAAGAGGAGTTGGTTTGTTTCTCTTCCCTCTGCAGTAGTGATTTGGATCTGATGAGACTGACAACCATGGGCCCTTGCTCATAAAAGGTTCACATCCGCACCACATTTTACGTACAGTGTGGAGGGAATCACGAGTTACTACTGCTGCGTTTTGATTCTGACCCAGAACTTGGGAGAAACAACTGAGATAAGTAGGTGTCTTTACGAGGATGTCCTAGTAGCCACTGAATTAATGACGTTTGGGGACCTCAGCGACTTTGAAGATCCAAAGGTTTTTCGATCCCTGACCTAGAGAGGGAGTTAACTATTCTGAGTTAAATGTCTCTCCTGAGTCCAGATACCAGCAGGGTATGGTACGCAGCCCGTGCCTATCTGGTTTGCAAAAACTTTTCCTTGGTGGCGTATTCAGCATTTTCCCATGCTGTTCCCTTATACTCCCCACCCCCCCTCCCAGTGCCAGTGAGTGTGGTCAATTCTTAAGATATCTAAAATAAGAGAGTAAATTTAGGGCCACCTAGTAAAAGTGGGCCCACCATCGAGAGACTGTGTTTGCAATTTTACGCATTTTACAATCTGGTCTAGTGTCAACATCTGCAGTCACCAAATTGCAAAGTTCACTGGGATAATTTGGCCTTTGGTAACATTTTCCATCATTTAGGTTCCACTGTATTTACTTTTTACCCTGAACTTACTTTACTAGAATAGATTTGTTTTCAAAAATCTGTAGCCTTGGTTACGTATCCATGTAACCTACCGACAGGATGCTTCCCTGGAGTGGAAACCACATGTCTGCTTTGCTGACTTCCAGTCGCTAGATAAATATTTAACACAGGCGTCGCACTTTCCCAGTGGTCTTCCAAATTGCCTCCTGTGTCTGTTTTCTTCTTGCTCCGATCGATCCTAACAGACTGCTCTTCCTGAGTTTACTGTCCTGTTCCGTGCTTGCATGAGAAGTCCAATCAGATGGATGTGTTGTAATGATCTCGTGTACCCTCTTTATTGGACTGATGAGAAGCAGAAGTTCCCCGTAGAGGAAGCGATATGCCGAAGGTAGAGGTGACATGCTGTGGGATCTGGTGGCAGACCTGGTCCCAATGAAACTTCACCGCCTCCCACTGGGCCTCCCGAGCCCATCATTCAAGTCCCTCCTTTATTTACGTGGTTTTCCAGTGTATTTACCGCCTCTTATCTGCAGAAGCCTGCTTTTTCTGTCCCTGTTCTCCTAAAAACACCAGGTGTGTCCCCATGTCTTTGTCTTTGCCCATGCCCCTCCTCTGTCCAGACCAATGCCTACTCCCTTAGACGTACTCATTCACACGCCATGCTGAAGCACTGAGTATGTAGAATGCGGTATTGAATTCTTATTTCGCCTTCATAATTCCACCAGTTAGATTCTATTATGATCTCCATTTTACACACATGGAAATTGAAGCTAAAGTAGATTAAGGTACTTGCCCAGGATGTCTGAGCTAGCATGTGGCAGGGCCTGGACCCAACCTGCGCCGTGAGCCCCGGGACTCACGCCCTGACTCCTACCGCAAACTCACGGCTTCCAAGGAACATCTTCCAAGTTCCAGGCCACAGGTTCCCTCCGCTCGGAGAAGCTGACTTTATCACAGGGTTATCTGTGCTTTCTGAATCCTATTTGGCATGCCATAAAGCTTAGAAAGCAATATACTAATTCACAAACCTACCATCAAAATCTACAATTTGACTTCCTAACTTCTCTTCCAAATGTGTTTGGAAAGGAACCAGGGAGGGCCAAGAAAGCCATGCAGGGCAGAGGGCTGTGCCCAGAGCATCCTCCGCCAGGAACTCCTGGTGCCTGGGACCTTGAGGAGCCACTGAACCTCTGATCCTCTTTGCCTTCATCTGCCAAGGAGGCTTGTGGTAGAGACTGTGTATGAAAACTTTTAATTCACTGTAAGGCATTTTTCAAAAGTACCATTACTTTTCAGTCCCATCAGAAATTAAATCAGTTTCAGGCAGAAATGACTTTATCATCCTCCATCCTCCAAGTGGTAAGCTGTGGCGATTTCAATGTGCTGGTCAGATAACTTTCCATAAGGTTTCTTTGACTTCTTCGAACCAATTTTTTTCACGTATAAATTACTAATAAAATGCAATTGTCCGGTATATCCCTTACATTGTCTCTGCTCCGGAGGTTTATATATTCAGGTCTCTGCTCCGGAGGTTTATATATTCAGATCCCGAGTTTTCTGCACACTGATTTGGCCAGGTCTTCATGTCTCAACTGTGTAAGTTACATGTACAGAAGGGCCAGGTCGGCGGGCAGCTTGTGCTCAGGACAGCGGTCGCACTGTCCTCCTGGAATGGCTCCCGTTCATTCACACGGTGGGCTCCTGTGAAAAAGTGTGGCTGCTCAGTCTGATTCCAGCTTTTACGCCTGCAGAGGCGTCTGCTGTGCCTTGGCCAGCAGGGCTGACGTGACGTGGCGGGGTCATTCTCTTCCCAAATGGCAGCGAAGAGCCAACAGACCAGAGAAGTTACGGAAGCATGGCAGGAGAGGAAGAAAGTTCAGTGTAAAAAGCAAGCGTGTAACTCCTACATTGAAAATTAAAAATACCACCTTCTGTGGCAGCCCAGACACGTTTTCAATAAGCAGTAGGGATTCTGCTGTTTTATTAACTTATTGCAGATGGCATGAGGAGGGATGCTGGTGAGCCTTGCAAGTGGAACGTGCTCAGGACAAACGTGCAAAAAGTCGATGAAAACGTCTAGTGGAGCCTAGAGGCAAGGGAGGCGTTGCTGTCCAAAACCCAAGTTCTAGTGCAGACTAACATGCCGTAGCTGTGTGACCTTAGTCAAGTTCCTTCACCTCTCTGTTCATTTGCGAAATACAGATAATATGTCACAGGGATCTGAGGATTAGATGCAGTCGTCAATGTAAGCCCTTACTGAGCACAGTGTCTTACACACAGTGACTGTCTGGCAAGGCCGAGATGGGTGTGTGAGGCGGTACCACTGTGGGTAGAACGGTAGTGAGTGCGGGGGACTCAGTCACTACCTGGGCTTCCCTTCGACTATCTGCAGTTGGGAATCCAAGTATTCAGAGGGCTGACCTGTAGTTAAACATGGATTTTCAACCTCATGGGGATCAACACCCCTAACCCTTGCACCCCTAAACCTTGCAGCTGTACTTATGCCTTTGCCTGGATTCTTTCTTCACCAAATTGTTCTCAGATTCTAGAAGCTACTGGCAAGGTCAGGAAGAAACATGGATTGGGTTATGCGAGCCTACTCATAGAGGACCTCATCCAGCAAGCATGTACAAGCTCCCAGCCTACTGTGGGGAACAGTAAAGATTTTAGAGGCAGGAAGAGGGGAAGATAGGTCTGCAAGAGCAGGGTCGATCCATTGAAGATGGAATAGTGCAAAACCACTTGTTTTCACACTGTATATTGCTTTAAGACCCAATGGGCTAAATCAGTTGTTGGCTGTAATTAATCAGATGGAAATGTTAATAGCGCTTGAAGGGTGGGATGGCAGAGCGGTGCTATCTGTAGGAAAGGATATGACAGAACCTAGAACTCTGTGTGCTTGGAAGTCAGTTGCCAATAAAGCTCTCGACATGGATTGAGTGTTCCGATGTGTTTGACGCATTCCCTTATCTCAGTCTGTGATTATTGGGCATGGGCACCTTTATCTCCATTTTACAGATGAAAGGCACCAAAGTACAGACTTTAGGTTTGTTTCAAATTCCCTGGTTCCAAATCGGGTGCTTGTTCAATTTATGCTACCATGACTGATGGAAATGTGTCAGATATAGTTTTAAAGCCTTTAACAAGGAACTAGGTAAATATTTGAGGCTTCTCAAATGTTCAGCCCGGGGTAAGAGGATTATATTATATCACAGAATTGGACTTTTTTAAGCATCTGCATCCCATAAGTAATGTTCTTTTGAAGTTTTGCTGACTTTTTTTTTTTTTTCTTTTTCTAAGAACAGCATGGAACATTAGTTCTCAGACTTGGGCACTTATCAGAATGGTCTGCGGACTTGTTGAGTAGGATTCTGTGGGTCTGCTGTGACTGAGATTGTGCATTTCTAACAGGTTTCCTAGTGATGTTGACATGCCACTTTGTGAAGGACTGACAAGGAAAATATATTGTATTCCTGATGATATGGAGGAACAAGTAGGAAAATAGTCCTGGAAGGGAATTCCAGGATTGCAGATGGAAATTGTAATTCAGATCATGTTTCCAAAACTCCGCAAATTACATTTGGAGCTCAGAAAATTTGTATTATGACTTACTTGATTTTTAGAGATTGCCTTTGATTACAAGTGGAAATCAAGAATGAAAAATCAATTGTGTGTGTAAATATTGAAATTCTGTGTAACTTAAAAACATAATAGGTTTGTATGTGTTTTTCTCCAGACCACTAAAAACAACATATTAATTGACATGTATGGGTTTACTTACAGTTTTCCCCCTCCTTTTTTTTTTTGGTCTCTGTAGGTGGCAAATCTTCCAAAAGACTATAAGATATCCCTCAAGTATGTCCCCGGGATGGACGTTTTGGTATGTAAACTGTACTTCTCAAGAGTTTCATTTCAGTAGTTGATAAAAGAGATGGGATCATCTTATTGAGGCAGAAAATTATCTCACATTTAGAAGTTTGCTAATTGTCTCTTAAACCGTACTCCCAAAGTGAATAAGGTCATCTCCTTTGAAACTCGCCACAAATTTTTCTTTTTCCTTTAGCTTCTCCCCCAAAAGGCTCTAGTGTACAATTATGTAAATTCCATTTATACTTGAGAAGGTCCCATATAAGTCTCTTTTCTATTTAATTTGAGAACACAAAGTATTTTATCTCAGAATGTATTAGCTGTGTGATAGACTCTTAGAACCTTACAGGGAAAGTAGGTTATGATTATACATCCTTCTTTGTCACTGCAACCAAGACATTTTCATTTTCATTACATAGTATCAGAATTCATACATGAAGAACTGTTTCGAGCATAGGAAATGCAACACCCATGTACCCATCACACAGCTTGTCATACCTTACCACTGTACAATGTTGGCTTTCAATATATTTTTTTAATAATGAAACATTATAAATATAACTAAATCCTCTGTATCCCCTTTTCCTAACTCCATTAGTTTCCACTTTGTCTCTGAGGGACAGTATTCTGAGCTGGACTATGTATCCCCAGGCATGTTTTTAGGACTCTGCATGGGGACAGCCTCCCCTGGGAGGCAGAACAGTAGTCCTGGTGCTCTTACATCTAACAGATGATGTTATTTTTTGCATCTTTTTACATTTTACGTTAATGCCAGTATACTGCATATACCACTTTGCAACTTGTTTCTACTGCAACATGCCTTTGAGATTTGACAACAGTGTTGCTCCATGGTGATTCATTTTAACTCCTATATTGTGTTGCGTTCTTTTGAAACCATTTGAGTTAGTCCACTCTGGGAGTAGACATCTTTCCTTAATTTAACAAACACTTACTACATAGCCTCCGTGTTCAAGTTGTCCCAGGCTTTGAGGAATTTCTGTGGCTGAGTCAGTCCAAGTCATTACCAGTGTGAGTGTGTGAAGCCCATCACTAAGTGCTTGTGCTTAAAAAGTGTTTCCAAGACTACAAGGTTATCATTTCAAGAGAAGGTCAAAGGCATATTTCTCTTCATTAGCACTGGAAGCCTTTTAGCATGAGCTGTCTGCCGTTCCTTAGAACTGACTCCTTTGAACATGTATCTTCATGTTGAACCGGTTACCCTTGTGTCTAGGTCAACATCTGTCCAGGTGAATCAGGGAGAGTTCTCTGGAGACAGGAATGTAAAACCATCGCATCCTGAAAGTTAATTAATCGCACCATTCAGTCACTCGGGCAGCACGTATTTGTGTAGGAAGAATTATGGAAACAGCACCTCATCAGACACTCGAAGAAACAAACACATGTCAGTTTAGCCCTATATGTGCCAGAGACTGGGGAGAAACTCTCTGGCCTTTTCCAAAAAGATTTCACATTTGTCTCCTAGAATGATTAGAGAAACCCCACCCGTGAGGGAGGCAGATAGCTAAGGCGACTCCTATTTTGCAAATGAGGCACCCAGAAGTATTTTGCCCAAGGATACACAACCAGAGTGACCGCCTTAAAAGGAAACCTCAGGTCATGTGACTTTCCCTGGGTTACAGACTGTGGTTATCTAAATAATTACACTAATTATTTAGTGAGGGAAAGTGTTCTAAATGAAGCCTCTATAAAGACGCACCCGGCCCTGGGCTGGAGACGGACTTCGGGCCTCTTATCACCGAGCTCACTCGGAGACCTCTTGCGGCTCTTTGACAAGCAAAGTTAAACTGAAAATAAGGGGATAGATGGTCGTGTACCCTATAATCACAGATCGCTCTAAGGCACACATTTCGGTATTGGCTGGTGATCGCGAGAGCCACATTTGTGAAAATAAAGCCAAGTCATCGCCACATGTTTTCCTTTTGTTTCCGTAATTGAGAAAAGCCCACTGTTACTTGATCTTGGCACGGCATCCTGCGTAGCTGGAGGAACCCTGTTCTTGGCTCCCGCAGTTGGCAAGGCAAACACGCCCGCGTAGGGCTCTGGGCAGAAACCGGTCTTGAGCTTTCTTTACCTTCGTTTCAAACACGAAGGCTCTGCCAAGATCAGAGGAGTTTCCCAGTGGACCGGCCCCTGATTATTTGTCAGTGGTCAGAGTCCCAGCTGCCTTATCTTTTGTGTTTAAACAATAAAGGGTGGAGTGGGAGGCAAACGGGCCACCAGAAAACCTCTCTTCCAAAGCAATAAAATTCTGCCTGGGGCACTGGGCAGAAGAAAGCTCTAGAATAGAATACACATTCTTTTTTTTTGGCTTTGTTTAAAAAAAAAACTCAGATAAATACACCTGAAAAGGAGAGGCTACTTTTCTAAGGCCCTTTCTAGAAAATTACCACGCAAGTTCTCTCACAAATAGCAGGGTCTGATCAACCGGTGGATACTTACATCTCAGGATAATTACCTATTCTATTTTAAACTTCCTGAAGCTGTAATGTTGCCACACTTGATTTCCTTTAAAGTCCCTCTCCTTGAAAGTCCTAAACATTTCGGAGCCTTTCCGTTTATTATAGTAATGTTACTGTAGAAAGAACAAAAACGAAGGTGCCGAATTTGTGCCACATCTCTTCGGTCATTTTCATGCCTAGAAAAAGATATAAACTGTGAGTTGCTTATGGTATTTGAGTAAAAAAATTCTTTATCCACTTTGAATGAAAGGAAATGAAGTATTCATCTGTATTCTAAGTTTCTATTTGGAAATAATTTCAAATGTACAAAGAAGCTTGTTGGACTATTTAGAGAACACCGCTGCCCCCTTGAATGCAGATTCATGTTTTTAACATTTTGCCTTGTTTGTGTTTCTAAATGCTTGTTTTCTTTGCACACATGTGTGTTTTATTATTTTTCTAAACCCGTTGAGTAAGTTGTATACATAATGTGTGTTTACCCCTAAATACTTCAGTGTGTATTTCCTAAGTCAATGAAATTCTTTCACATAGCCACAGTGGAACTTGTCCGCGTCGATAAGTATAGGAATAATTAAAAAACTTCAATCTACTGGCTATATTTCACATTGTTTTTTTGTTTTTAATCCTCACCTGAGGATATTTTCCCACTTATCTTCAGATAGAGTGTGAGGGACAGGGGGAGAGAGAAAAAACATCCACATGAGAGAGACACATCTATTGGTTGCCTCCCACATGACCCCGAACAGGGCCAGGGACCAAACCGCAACTGATGTCTGTGCCCTTGACCTGAATCAAACCTGTGACACTTTGGTCGGCAGGTCAATGCTCTAACCATTGAGCAACCGTCCAGGGTGGTATTTCAGATTTAAGAACATTTTTCTCTTTGGCTTTTCTTTTTCTCTGGTACAAGAACCAAGCTAGGATCATGATGTTCATTTTTATATCAAGTGTGATAGGCATAATAATGGCTCCCCAAACATGTCTCCTGCTGTGAATATACTATTACCTGACGAGGCAAAAGGGATTTTGCAGATGTCATTAAGTTAAGGATTTTGAGATGAGAGATTATTTTGGATTATCCAGGTGGGCCCAATCTGATCACTTGAATCATTTTAAGAGTGTCAGGGCCAGAGAGGGTGATTTGAAGAGATTCCACTGTTGGCTTTGAAGCTGGAGGAAGAAGCCACAAGCAAGGAACGCAGACAGCCTCTGAAAGCCAGAACAGGCAAGGAAAGGGATTCTCCCATAGAGCCTCCAAAAGAAACACAGCCCCATTGAACACCTTGATTTGCACCTACTAAGAATACAGGACTCCTGACCTCAGGGACTATAAAATAATAAATTTGTTTTAAGTGCACTGAGTTCATGGAAACTGAAACATCATGTCTCTTCAGTCCCCTTTAAGCACTCCTGATGCCTTCTTTGTATATACGGGAGAGAGATTTTTCAGTAACACAGCCCTCCCCTTTACATAGAATGTTTCTCTTGGAAACATTTGATGTGTCTGGATGGTTATACTGAGATTATGCATCCCAAGTCTCCATGCGACATAAGTGATGATGTCCTCAGGGTATCACATCTCGAGGTGCACCAGGTCCCTCTCCCCCTCCTGATGCTGTTTGTTTTGATCACCTGGTGAAGGTGTTCCACTATTTCTTTGTATTTACTCATTAGCAACTAATAAGCAATCTTTGTGGAGATACTTTCAGACCACGCATAGTTCCATATCAGTTCCTCCTGCAGATTTAGCATCTATTGATGACTCTTACCTGAACCAGTCTTTAATGTCCCATCAATTTTTTTTTTTTATATTTTTTTTTTTATCCTCACCCGAGGATATTTTTCCATTTTTTGTACAGATAGAGTGGGAGGGAGAGAGAGAGAGAAACATCGACGTGAAGGGACACATCGAGTGGCTGCCACCCGCACGACCAACCAGGGCCGGGGACAAACTGCAACCGAGGCACATGCCCTCAGCGGGAACCGAACCCGGGTCTCTCCGGACCGCAGGCCGACGCTCTAACCGCTGAGCCAAACTGGCCAGGGCATGTCCCATCAATTTTTAATTAAGCAAAGCAGGGTTAAACAAGTCATTGGCAATATGTGATGTTACCTGAACCATGATGCCTCCCAGCACAACCCGCTTCCTCAGGTGCGCATCGATCACGCTCCACTATTCTCACCTTCTTTTGCCTGGCCCTGCTGCTTCTGGGCTCTTCCCAGCTCCCTGGCCGGTTTGGAATTCATCACTGGAGGTTTTGATTTTTTGAGTAGACAGTGGTTTAAAAAAACAATTCAACCCTGGCCAGTTTGCTCAGTGGTTAGAGCGTTGGCCCGAGGACCAGTGACTCTCAGATTCAGTTCCGGTCAAGGGCACGTACCTCGGTTGCGGTTCGGCCCCGGCCCTGGTTGGGTCGTGCAGGAGGCAACCAGTCGATGTGGCTCTATCACATCAATGTTTCTCTCTGTTTCTCTCTCTCTCCGTCCCATTCTATCTGATGATAAATGGAAAAGTATCCTCGGATGAGGAGTA